TCATGTAGCAAATTTTCCAAAATTATACACTTTTTAAAAACTTCTAGTGCATGTCTATATAACACAAAATATGGTGATACTTTTTGTTACCATATGTCCTACCAATTACCAACCTTGTGAGTTTTCAGACCTTTCACTGGCACCATTATTCAAAACATCTTGCATAAAAATAGGGGATGATTTTGAATCTTTCTTTACTAATAGATTTGTTACAAGCAAATACATAATATCAAATCTTCCTTAATATCCTTATGAAAATGTAATGAACAAGACAAGGAAAAGTAGGCCCATAAATCAGGTGACTCCTCTAGGTAAATAAATAATTACTGGACATTTTCAGGTACCTAGTTTATCTTTTAGTTTCAAAACCCATGATTTGATCAAAACAGGATTACTTCAGAGCAACTTAGTTAGCATCTGTTTAAAAAGTTAATGTACTAATCAACTATGAATAATATGTATATTCTTCAAAAGACTTGTGTTAGGGCTGTGCACTAATGCAATAGAACTGTACACTAATATTTCAGTTCTTCTAAGCATATGGTGAGGTTATATTTCCTTGCCACCTCTGGAGTTGGGTGTAAGCATGTGACTTACTTCAGCCAATGAAATATGAGAGGAAGTAACACTATTTTGCACAAGTTTTAAAAATCAATGCCTAACTATTCCTCTGCCCTTAGAAACCAACAGTGGTCAGTGTAGGACACCAAGTGTGGGCATATGGAATACTGTTCCTAGTTGTCCCACAAAAGGTATGTATTATATCATGAAGAAGAAACAAATGTTATTTTAAGTCAGAGATATTTTCGGGTTTAGTATCAAACTGATACAGCTTGATATGCAATTCTCGAATCATGAATTTCTTTATGGAATGCCATTTGATATGCTATATGATGTCTGTTTATACTGTATGAGGTTCACAGTATTATATCTTGAGAGTTCCCTATTTTCAACTGAATAAAGATGTTACATTTGAAAAGCTACATTTTGGGTCTAAAGGACAGCACGATTTATTTTATTATGCCTCTTTACAAGCTCAGAAGGGATCAAAGAGCCTTTGGATAATTTCTTCACAGCAGCTCTAAAGCTACTGTTTCATCTCGGACAATCTACCTCCCAAATAAAGAAGAAATGGCTCTGCATTTAAAAATTTCCAATTTGTTAATTTTTACTTTAGAATCTTTTGGAATCTGTATCAGCCATAAACCACTGACATTATCCTTGCATCGTAATACTTTAAAACAGCCCCTCATGGTTGCCCATGCCTATAATCCCAGAGACTCAGAAGGCTGCAATAGCAGGACCCAATTTGAAAGCCAGCCTCAGCAAATCAGCAAGGCCCTAAGCACTTTAGTGAGACCCTGTCTAAAAATAAAAAATTAAAAGATCTGGGGCTGTGGCTAAAGGTTAAGCAACTCTGGGTGCAATCATCTCGGTACGGGGTAGGCGGGGTATTCTTTAAACAGTAAATAAGATTGCAGAAAGTATGCTGAAATTCTAAGACATGACGACAGTGAACAGACTAACAACATTATATCATAACAACATCAGAGAAAAAGCTAGTGGTAGATGCTGCTTGCTCTACAATTCAAAGACAATGTGTCTGTCCACTAGCAAATATGACACTCTTGGACAAATATTTCTCGAGGCTGATGATCACATGATTAAGAATAATAACAATGTATTTAGAAGAAAAATCATTAACATTTATAATTTTTTCTAATAGTGTTAGACCCATGTTAAAATTTCAGATCTGCCACTTAACAGCAACATGATCTTGAACAAATTATTTCACAACACTAAGCTTCAATTTTCTCATCTGCACAAGAAAGTATAATAATGCCTCACAGAGTTACTGGTAGAATTAAATAACATGTTAAGTAATTGGTATGCAGTGCCTAGTGTAGAAACAAATGTTCATTTCTTCCTTTAGCAACAAGCAGAACCAATTCATTTAGTGACAAGAGTAGAGAGAATACTACAAAAAGATGATCAAGCACATCTCTTCCAGACTTTGTCTGAACAAATGTAAATAGCTGACATTTTTCCATACCATCAACTGCAAAGTACTACCAAATCCACCTCTCTTTCTGTCTCCATTCTTTCTCACCTGGACTAATAGAACAATCATTTAACTGGCCTCCCCGCCTCCAGTCCTCTCTCAAAAATATCTTCCAACCACTCATGCCACTCTTTATTTAAAAGTTTCCATTTTTACCTAGAAAATAGAAGCATTTGGGGATGGAGTACCATGACAAGTATACTTGTTATGAGAAGTACACTGTAAATGGCTTAGGTAAAAGAGAATATATGCATCTTACTCATTCATATCCACATATATGCAAAATAAGCAGAAGGATAGCAAAATATTAATAAATGTGAAATTTAAGTGGTTGTGGATTCATTGCATTCAAATTTTTTGCATGTGTGGAAATTTTAATAAAAGTAGTAAAATTGAAATAAAAATCATAATTAATATACCTCATCTTTTGGAAAAATGCAGAATAAGAAGAACAGATTTTCTTGAGTATGCATAAACAAATTCCACCAATTAGAAACTAATAACAATTATTTGGAAGGTGCTGGGTGGAGAGAGCAGTAATAAACAAATAGGTAGAAGAAGAGATGAGAGGGAATTACACAAAATTTATTTTATGCATATATATATGGATCTTTCCTTCTCCCCCTCCCCCTCCCTTTTCATATATATATATATATATGAAAAGGGAGGGGGAGGGGGAGAAGGAAAGATCTCTTTGCCATCAACTATTCAAAATAGTATACTGAAAAGCAGCTGGGTGCGGTGGCATGCCTGAAATCCCAGCAGCTTGGAAGGCTGAGATAGGAGGGTCTTGAGTTCAAAGCCAGTCTCAATAATGGAGATGTGCTAAGCAACTCAGTGAGACCCTGTCTTTTTTTTTTTAAATGTTTTTTTTTAGTTGTAGTTGGACACAATTTATTTATTTATTTATTTATTTATTTATTTGTGGTGAAGATTGGACCCAGGACCACACATGTGCTAGGTGAGCACTCTACCGCTGAGCCTCAACCCCAGGGAGACCCTATCTTAAATAAAAAAACAAAAATAGAGCTGGGATGTGGCTCAATAGTTGAGTGCCCCTGAGTCCAATCTCCAGTACTCTCCCCTACAATATTATACTGAAAAGCAATGGTAACTGTATTTCTACTTATGACATATGGTTACTGTGAGGATTAAATGAGACAATGTATATAATAAAGTCTTAGCAAGTGCTTGGCACCTGGTCAATAAATGTTTGCTAGTCCAGCTGTAAACACAAGGAAAAAAAACCTTCAATATTAATAATACTACCTAATGTATACAAGTTAATTTAAAGTACACCCTAAGGATAGTTATTTACACTTTCCAGAAGAGGATATTCAGGGACATGTACTTTATATACCATTATTAAAATTTACATTAGGGACTAGGATTGTGGCTCAGTGGTAGAGGGCTCGCCTAGCATGGGTGGGACCCGGGTTCGATCCTCAGCACCACATAAAAATAAAACATGTTGTGTCCACTGAAAACTAAAAATAAATATTAAAAAAATTTTCTCTCTCTTTTTAAAAAAAGTTACATTAAATATGGGGATTTTTTAGTTGGCATAAATCAAGGTTTAAATGATTTTTCCTTGATGAAATGAGTGGTATTTAAAATACATATTGTTGGCTAGAAAAACTATATGAGCACCACTGAACAAGGTTTCACAATGTAACGAGCTCAGCACACTAACACTAACAATGCTAAAAGCTCAATCTAGGCCTAGGCTCTTCTACATTGTGGAAGACATTGTTCTATGATCTGACCAGTCCTGCCATCAAACTACTATGGTTATTTAGCTTTACTGAATCAAGATTCTCATCATAGTCCCTGAGAGCCTTCTTCATCAACGACATGCTGTTTGACTTGACTATATGGATGACCACTCATATCATCAGAATGTTATCGTCCTATACTACCTTTAGTATTGTCTACCTTTTAGTCAACCAAAGTATCACCTCATAGAGCTACTTCGAAGATTAAATGAGATATAAATGTTAAACACTTAGCACAGTTCCTGACATAATCCAAGCAAAATTTTTAGCAACAATCATTATTATTAAGTTTGAGAAACTAAAGTTGTTAAACTAACAACTGAATTCCATTTAGAAGCTTTAAAAGTTTTTATTAGCTTAATCTTAAAATCCATGACAACTTTAAGGCATGGATTCAGCTAAAATAGATTCAGATTGAAAAAATAAATAATTCATTTTCCTAAACAACTATAATATTTTCTATCTAAGGCCTATTCTAAAGCAATCATTGTTTTGAAATCAAATACATACCAAGGAAAGATTTAATAACAAATTACTTTATCTATCGGTGAGTTATTAATAAAAGAAAAACTGAAAGTATTCTGTACTACTAGGCAAAGCAGTGTCATTTGGAAAAAAAATAATTCATGTTTGTAAACTTGATAGACCTATGAATTTGTTTAAACTTAAAAAAGAAAATCCCAGTAGAATTTTAAAACAAAATTATAAAATATGGTCATCTATCACCTCAAAAATGAAAAAGAATGAAATATATATGAATACCAGTACTAAAAGCTACCTAAAAATAAATTATGACACACAGATACAAACACACATAAAACTTCATAGTAGTTAGCTGAATGAAGACTAACCTACTTGTTATTAAATTTGGTTTTATAGGCCTTCGTACCATTTAGGAAAAATTTACCAATCATTTTACAATTCATCCAAATCCAGTCAATTTAACTGTGACCAGAGTAATTTAAACTCCCACTGTCTTCTCTTAGTAAATTACCCAACTAGAAGTCTAAGCCAATGACTTTTTAATAAGAACTACTGTCAGAATTGCATATGCAATTTGATTTTAATCATAAAACCAACATAATAAAAAAATAAGCATAAAAAACAGTACTTTTTCCATGGACTATTCATACTAACATTTCTTCATTTAAAAAAATACTTACCTGGCCTGGGGACGTGGCTCATAGGTAGAGCACTTGCCTAGCATGCACCAAGTCTTGGGTTCCAGCCCCAGTACCAAAAAAAGAAAAAATAAAGAGGAAAAAAATTCACCAAAAGAAGCTATTTTAAAACTTTAAAATAGTTTTTTGTTATATTAGTAAACACTGAAGCAATAAAATACATGGGGTTTAGGGGGATAGCTCTGTAGTAGAAACCATGCTAGCATGCTTGAGGTCCTGGATTCAATTTCCAGCACTGAAAATGAAAACAAAAGAAAATGACCACAGAAAGAAAAAAATATAAAATACTCTGAAGAGGAACTGTAAAAACTTGGCAAGAGTTAAAACTGATTAACTATATAACAGTGCACAGTGCATCTACCTTTTTTAAAAACTCAGTTGAACTTTGTAGACAATATATACTTAAAATTTTAATTGCTATTCTCAACTCATCAAATATCTACTGAAACATCTACTACATAGATCTTCTGCACAATTCTAGCTAGACCCAATAGCTAGCTTTCAAGATTTTATAGTTTACTAGGAGAAGTTAGACATATAAACATAATTTCAATGTAATTGATTTGAATGCCAATTACAAATGATTATTCAAATTATTCAAATGATAAAGGTATATATGAGGTATTTTTTCTATGCATAGAGGAAAAAACTATGTATTTGAGAGTAGTGTGGTGTAATTACGTAGAACTGTCAGAAAAAAATTCCTTAGGAAACCATACTGAAGCCTATTTGCCTGTCCTGTTCAGATACTTTTGCTTTCACTGAGTATCCAATGCCCCAGGATTAGGAAAGATTTTTAAAATGTTTAGCAATAGTACTGGGGAATGAAACTAATCAAACTATGTTATGTGCATGTATGAATATGGTACAATGAAACCTATTATTCTGTATCATTATTATGTGCCACTTTAAAAATGTTTAGCATCACATTACTATGAATCATTCACATGTTTAGCACTTGTTATGGTTTGGATGTGAGTGTACCCTAAAAGCTCACATGTTAGACAATGCATGAAGGTTTGGAAGAGAAATGATTGGGGATAGCCTTAACCTAATCAGTGAATTAATCCTTGATGGTATTAAATGGTAACTGTAGGCAGGTGGGGTGTATCTGGAGGAAGTAGTTCACTGGGGGTGTAGCTTTGCGGTATATATTTGTATCTGGCAAGTGGAGACCTCTCTCTCTACTTCTAGATCATTATGTTGGCCACTTCCCTCTGCCATACTCTTCCACCATGATGTCCTACTTTACCTCAAGCCCCAAGGAATGGAGCCTGCTGTCTATGGATTGAGACCTCTAAAACCATGAGCCCCCAAATAAACTTTTCCTCTCCTAAAACTGTTCTGGTCAGATCTTTAAGTCATTGCAGCGAAAAAGCTGACTAAAAGAGCACTTATTATGAATAGTACAGTTTTGTCAATCAGATCGATGATTTATTTTTAAATTTAAGCATACTATCATATAACCAGTATTTTAATTTTGGTTGAAAAGACATGAATTCATGTTCCCAAATATTTCTATCAATACTTATTTTTGTCTCTTTCCAATTCCGTTCCAATAAATTAAAATGGTAAAATGTAACAAAACTATAATATTCAAATATGCCTTAAACCATAGGAGATTGTTTTTGAATTACTTTTATTTCTAACATAAATACAAATTAATAAATTTAACTGAATAAAATCATGTGGTTGTTCAACAACAGAATCTTTTCAACCTCCAAAGCCAAGAGACTTTATTTTGCATTCTGAGCAGTCCACTATTCCAAAATCTATAGCATAATAGCTGTACCATTATTCATTACAGAAAATAATAAGAATAATACTTTACTATTGGCAATTCATTAGATTTGAAATAGATTTCCATTCTTTTATGGAAAACTTTAATATTCTAAGAAGAACCCAAATCGCACAAAAATCTGTCTTACAGAATTCCACTTGCACCTTTTAGTAAACATTGTCTTAAGTTAATGTTTATGATGCTATTATTCAATAGTATGGAAGAAGCAAGAAGCATCATAAAACTACAAAAGCTATCATTTTTCAGTAATCTGTGACATTTATTGTTCAGGATGGTTATATTTAAAACCCAAAGTTATTTCATAAGAAAAAGAATCCCTAAAATGCTATTATTGGGCTTATAGGGATGATGCTGTGGAACATATGTAATCTCTACACTATTCCACCATCAAATGAGTCCACAAATGTATATTAAAAATCTATTATATAATAAGCATTGTGTAATGCTGAAAAACACACTGGTAAAGAGGAAAACAGTTCCTGATTTCAAAGATCTTAGTCTAGAGGGAAACAAAGACAAGTAAATAAGGAATCACAATGAAGTATAGGAAATACAGGTTGAGCATCCCTAATCTAATAATCCAAAATAGGAAATGCTCCAACATCCAAAACTTAATGAGCACCAACATGATACTATAAGTGGAAAATTCCATAGTACCAAACTTTTTTCATGCACACATTATTAAAGACATTACACAGAAATATCCTCAAGCTATGTGTACAAGGTATATATGAAGCAAATGAAATTCACATTTAGACTGGAATCCCATCCCCAAGAGATCTTATTATGCAAACACATATATTCAGAAATTTAAAAAACTACAAAATCCAAAACTATTCCAGTCCCAAGCATTTCAGGTAAAAGATACTCAATCTGTACTAGAAAGAGGTACAAGGTAACAACAGGAACTCTAAACCCACACCAAATTAGTACTTAATCTAACTCTGTAAATTCAAATAATGTTCCTCAAAGAATGTTTAAACTGTTAGCTAATGAATAAATAGGACTTAAATGGGCAAAGGGTGTTAGGGGTGGAAGGCAGGGGCACAGCAGGCCCAGAGACAAAGGAAGAAGAAACAGTCTAGTAAAACAGAATCTTAATTACAGAGAGAGAAAAAGCATTCAGGAATTGCAAGTAATTCAGAAACACTACAACATGGACTTAATGTATAGCTGAAGATCAGTCGAGGAAGAAACTATTGAAAATATGAATGCCTAGGAATGGACAGAAGATATGAGCAGTGAATATGAAGGACTCAGTGACATTCTAAGAAGTTTGGACTTTACCCTGAATGCAATATGAAGTACAAATTAACACTGATCAAATGGAGACTGGTCAAGAAGCAGGATGATAGTAGCAACAACTGCAGCAAAGATGGAAACTGAATAAGAAAATGAGTACTAGGATTTAATAACTAATCGATATGAGGTCCAAGAGAGGAAGGATATAAGAACAAAGCATAGGTTTCTAGCTTAGACAGCTGACTGGGTACTGGTGACAGTAACTAAGAAGGGAAAAATGATCATCAAATTGTTTGAGATATGCTGAGATGGAAGCATATGCCTGTGAAAGTCCAAAGTAGATTAGATCAAAGTGCCTAGAATTCAGAAAAAAGACAGAATCACATCTTAAAGCAGAGAGTAATTTTAAAGTGTTAGAAACACTTAGATTGACTTAGATTGGCAAAAATAGCAACTAATAAAAATAACCCTAGAAAATTATTTAGGAATAATCCCCCAATGAGACCCACAACCATCTCTCTTAAGACAGACAGTTCCACAAATTACTCTTCCTCTAGTTGAGTACTAAACTGCCACAGTCCGGCTGCAGCAAAATGGGAAGAGGGTTTCAGCAGCAATGAGACCCACAACCATCTCTCTTAAGACAGACAGTTCCACAAATTACTCTTCCTCTAGTTGAGTACTAAACTGCCGCAGTCCGGCTGCAGCAAAATGGTGGGGGTGGGGGGGGTGACGAACAACTTGTACGTTGATACAGCAGGAGTGGGAGCCATTTATTATAGGACAACAGAGGTATTTATACATTCCACACAGCTTATCTTAATTAACATAAACTAGATACAGCAGTCAACCAATAAGGAATCTCCACACTTAATGGC